AAATACCTCTAATCCTGAGATTATGTCTTTGGTAACTTAGTTTTTTCTGACGTACATAAGCAAGAGCATACTTCCATGTGCAGCCCACTTAGCAAATTTGAGGAGTCTGCCATAATGTGATGGTATCTTTTGGGGCAGAAGAGATGGTAAGAGGAAGACCTTTGGTGTTTTGACTGGCCTCTTAAGTTATTCTTCACTTTATAAGTCTCACCATCCACTTTGGTCACCCTGCAGGATAACTTGTCTTTGACCCATTTGTGACCCTTAGCACTTCATCCATCTGTGTCACTTTCCACCTTTTATTTTTTTTTTCATCTATTTGAATTGAAAACATCTCAGAAGAAATTGTTTCTGTTTTCAGAATGCCAAGCCAAGCAAAACAAAGCCCAAATCTTGTTCAGGTCCTTCAGTTTCGGCTGAAATAATTAATGAGGTTTTGTGTGAGCTGTTGCAAAGTGCCTAGAGATTCTTAGATTTGCCTACACAGTTACCATCGTGCACTTTGGCCAAATAGTTGTTTGTAAAGCAAATTTGTCTTTAATAAAAAAGGCACTGTTAAAAATCAGTTCCCGTTATTTTTCATAGAGAATTTTCCATCCAAACTGTGAGCTTAGAATTGCTGACCATCTCCTTAAACACTTCCAGGTAATAATGATACATATTCTTCCAGCTAACATATATCATTAGTTTTTGTCAAGCAAAGCTTAGTTCATAGCTGTAGAAATATTATGATTTACTGGCCTCCAGCCAATCTATTAATTACCTGCTAGTTCCTTAATGCAATTGAGGCTTTGTTTGATTTCAGTGTAAGTTATTAACTTGCTGGTAAAGGATCAGTGCCTCATAAATTGTTTCTCTAAATAACTTTACAATGCTATGGAAGTTTAATTTTTTTTTTATAAATAAGAATAAATATGTGAGGGACAGCTTTAAATTGCAGTTATATAAAGCAACTCTTTTGATTTGAGATATCAAATAGTAGCACCATATCTGTGTGAAGAATATCTAAGTCTCATAGAACTGTTACTTAGGCACCTTCCTTTCTTTGGGAGAATCTTAGTATTTTTACATGTACCAGACTGAAGACTGATTTGGTTTTGTCCTGGGCTGGCTATATGATGCTTGTATCCCCAGTTGTCTGTTCTTTTTATGCTGGATAATAAGTTTTGTACCTTTAAGGGTTGTTCTGAGAGTGAAGGGTGGGAGAGAAGAAGCACAGAGTTTGTTATCAGAAACTGCTCTTGCTCCCTCAGCATCCTGCTCCTGGACTGTGCTGTCTGAAGACAGACAGACAGTGGGACAGAACTCTCCTTTGCTTTTTAGTTAGTTTTAGCTAGCTGAGGCAGAGAAGTTCCCTGGATTGTGGTTTTTCTTTTTATTTGGACCTGTTTAAACCTGCTCTGAAAAAAAAAAAAACCAGAAAAGCACCTGTGGCCCACCAGGCCGGGCCTGGGCCTGGGCCGCGGCATTTCCAGCACCAGAGGGACTGATCAGAGACTGAGTGAGCTGAGCTACAGCCCACCAAGGGGACTTTCTGAGTTTGTGATCTCTTTGGGGGAGCAAGAGATTTTATTGTTTAATATTGTTCATTTCTTTTGTGCGGGTGAATGCTTTGCCTGTTAAATAAACAGGTTTTTTCCACTTTTCTCCAAAGAAATCTTTTCCTGAACCAGTTAGGGGAGGAGCCACTGGGATCTGCTTTCTAGAGGAACCCCTTTAGAGGTTTTTCTCCCAAATTTGCTCTAAACAAGTACAGTTTTGTACTGCTTAGTTTGGTTTGGTTTTTTTAGTCATATCATTTTAAAATTGTAAGATCAGATGAAGAGATCTTGGGCCAGGCTTTACTTGTTGTAAGTCCATTGAGAGAATATACAACAGTTAAGGCCCTGGCTGTGTTAAAATTATTGAGACCAATAATATATTTTAATCTCTTGTTATGTATCTCATGCCATTATTTTTTATTCCCAGAAGTTATAGGCTACTTTTTTTTTTTTTTTTTTTTTTTTTTTTATGTGGAAGAATAGATGGAAAACTCACCATTTTCAGAAGGAAAAAGCTGTGACTGTCTGGAAATGTCTGGGAAACATCCTTTAAGCAGGTCATGTACCTTAGGTGCTAGATCTTGCTTAGATGCCTTCTCTCTGCTGAATAAGCCAGTGGATAGGATGCCTGACTTAAGGACAGGTATCAGAGTCTTCTTGCAATGGGCCATTACTATGTTCTGTGTGAGCTGGACTCCCTGAGAGAACAGAAATATCCAGGTGGAAGGAAGTATATCAATCCATTTTCAGCTGTAACCTCCACTGAAAGGAGAAGCTAAAATCTTCCAGTCAAACACAGCAGGCAAAAAGTGATGTTCTTGTCTTGTGATGTTATATTCATCAGACTGGATAAGGCACTTGCCTGAAGCAGGAAATCACCATAGTAAGTGACTGGCAAGCTTTTAGAATAATCTAGAAATTTCTTCACCTAATAAGATTTCTCAGGATCAAATCTGCTTGTCCTTGGCTTGTTAATATGGGTTTGAGTGGGGGCTGTGAGGAGTGGGTGAAGTGGTTAAGGGGACAGAGAAGTGCATGGTCTGTACAAGAAGGCTGAGGGCAGTAGTGCTTGCCATGGTGGGTACTGGAGAGAGCAGCAGCAGAAGTTGTGCTAGAAGCAATACAGAGGAGTACAGTGCTTGTTCTCCTGCTCTGCTCATGGCTTCAGCCTGAAAGAAAAAAGCTGAGGTACCCAAAGTCACCTGTGATGAACTGGTAGCTTTTGCTTTGTCCCGCTTCCTTCTTTCTCCCTGCCCCCCAAAAAAATCCTCAGCCAAGGTCACTTGGTACTGCACACTAGATATTCATTCACAAACACTCCCTGTTGGAGTTTAGCACCCACACAGGAAAGAATGATTTAAAGATGAGAACAGCTATAGAGGTGAACTCTGTTGTCCCAATTTGTATAGGCTGGCCAAGTAGGGGGGAGGTGGATTGCCCATCTAATGTGCACCAGAAGGAAAGATACCGGTTTGTATCATTGCTGACAGGTGGTTCTGACTGAAAAATAAACACCAAAGGAAAGCGGCTTTGGCTGAAAATTGGATTCTTAGCAGCAAGAAGTGCCTGATCTGATTGTTTGTACCTTTTTTTACTTATCTCTCCTCTTTTTTCCCCCTGGCCCTGTGACTTTCAGCCCTTTCAGTATTGCCAGTCAGTCTCTCTGTGCCTGGAAGGAACACTCTGCCCTAGTGTGGAAGCAACAGCTTCTTTTATCTTGAGTGCTGTAGTTATCTCACTTGTGCATCTCAGAGCAAAACTGATAAAGGCTGCTAAGACAAGATGGTCATTTTCAATCTTTAATAGCTTATCAGGTTTTAAAAACCTCATGAAAGAGCTGTGTTAGTTAAATGATGATTAATAGGGAAGCTTATGAAAAAAGATACCAATTAATGTTTGATTTTGTAATAGTGTTAGACTTGTCTCTTTTCTCTGACTTTAATCTGTATAAACAAAAGGATCACAAGAGAACAGCATGTCTCTGCTTGTTTAAATCAACTGGAATTAGTGGCACATGCCCTTTGCAGTCACCAAGTTAGGTGGAAGTGCTGAAAATTATTGTGATTTTGTACCAGGATAGTCCAAGATTTAAAGCTAAGACATAAACCACTTACTTTATATCAGAAGAGTCAAACAGTCTGTGGAAAAATATAGGAACTGTAATAAAGTTACCATTTTTGTGTCAGAGGAGGGGGGAAAAAGAAAAAAAAAAACTGTGTTGTGATTATTAACTCTTGGTTATTTTTCTTTCCCAATTGTTATGCAGGTTGCTGTAGAGCCACCATAGGGGACTTTCTGCCTGGGTGAGAAGATAGTTGTGTTTACAGTGCAAGTTCTCACTTGTGACAAGGTGGAGGATCCATCTGTAGATGGAGGGTGGCCTTTTCAGGTTTTAATATTTGCCTGTCTGTAGTTTAAGCTGGCTGGGCAGCAGGTTCAGATAGATAGAAATGTAATTAATGAATCCGATTCGTGCTAAGAATTATAACTATATCAATATTTTAGAAAATATTTGTTAAAAAGTAATAGAGTAAAAAAATATGTAATCAGTGTCACAGAACAGATATTTTCAGATGTTAATGAGAAACTAGGATGCAGGATGTAGTTTGAGATAAGTAACATCCCAAACGGAATAAGCCTCGGGATAATTAAGGAATCAGACTTGAAATGGACAAAATTGGGATGATTCCAGGTATCTATGAAATAATAAGGCTTATTTTTGGAATATAGTGCTGGCTTCTATAACACAAGACTTGGGGCGCATGTGCAACCTGTGGGGTTGTTCAAAGGACAGGGACGATGAGGAGAAGCCTTCGTCACAAGAGACCACCAAAAGCCAAAGAAGATCCCTTAGAAACAAGCAGAGCAGGCACTGTGCAGTACAGTGATGTAGATTTCAAGAATGGAAAATGGGAGGAGATTTATGGGAAAATATTGATGAATATGTATATAAGTATATAAGTTGTGTTTGTTGATTCCTTTGTTTTTCGTACGGGAGGCAGGGTGAGAACTCCACCCCCCAGTAGCCCAGTCGGGTTTATACCCCGGTCAGTTTTGCTTATGCTTTATCCAAACCACTTCCAAATTATTTTTGTATCTGCTTGATTATATTTGATTGTATTATTTTATATAAAATTGCTGCTCAATTAAAATTGTTGCTAAATTCAACTTTGTTGTTTGTTGAATTAGACATATAGAACTTTATCATAACAGAAATAAGCTATTTGCATGTGCAGTGGCACAGTCAGATGAAGATTGGTACTAGTCTGATCAAAACAGTTCAAATTTCTATTTAGAGAAACAGGGAAAGCAGTCAAGTACCAGAAGCTAAAAGCCATACAAGATCTCAAGCTTATTCCCTATGCCACTATGAACAATTAATTTACAGAGTGCTGTCAACTAGTTGTGGGTTTTTATTTATAATGCAAATGTGCTGATGTTCTCTTTCTTCACTTGCAGCTGCCCTGAGAGCTTGTGCTGATGGAGGTGCCAATCATCTCTACGACATCACAGAAGGGAGCCAGGAAAGGTAAGTCAGCAATACATTTCAAGTCATTGAAGCCATCTCTTCTCAATGAAAATAAAATGTGGAGTAGGATCTGTTCAGTTACTTAAGTAGCTGCTTGCTCTGTGCATGGTACTTTAATGAACTGTGGCACGTAGTGTAATATTTTCTCCGCATTATCCTAAATTTTTATTCTCAGCTCCAATTTATAAAAACACAGGTAGTCTGAAACATCATTTTCTCTGAAGCCCACTGGTCTTTTTTCCTCTTGAAAGCTCTGCTCTCAGTCATTCTTATTTTGTGCATCCATCAGAGTTAGGCCTCTGAAAAAATTTGCTGTGCCCCTAGCAAGTGTTGCCTAGAGGAGCATCTGATGCTTGTCACCATGAGCTAAAACAAAGTTTGTCCTCTTCATTTTTCATGAGGCCTTAGAAGAAATCTACTTACTTAGACTTTCTAGGAAGTCTTCTTTGTAAATTATCTTTTAATTAGCATCAAGTCATTATAAATAACCAAAGGCAAGTACAGACACTATCTATAAATGTGTACACTAGGTGAGGAAATATGACTGAAAGAATATGGTCTTGTTTTCTGCAGTGACATTTAAAATTGTAAAACATCCCAGCTTTCTGCAGCTGAGGTGTTGAGCAGGAGTTGTGATGCAAAATACTTCATTCAAATTATTTGTTATTGTTGTAGTGGAACCATGAAACACTGTACAAACTTAGCTTACTACGGATTCTTTTTTCTTGTATTTAGGATTTTCAGGTATTTTGAACAAGAATCCATAAATAAGTATTTTCATAAAAGTGAATTGATACACTGACTCTTGGAGCAAAGGAATGAGAAAGGCATCTGATAGAACTTACAAGCTTATGAACAGTCTTACTCATACAGCAAAATCTGACACATAGTTTGCTTTTCATCTCATGGAAAGTGTATGACAGGGACAAGAGGAAGCTCTGTTTCCTCGTCTCCTTCAGAAAAAAAGACAAGCGTTAGAGAGGAAGGCTGTAGTCCAAAAGTAAAAATTAAAGTAAAAATTTCTTCCTTTGTCACCTGTGAGAAATTTACCTAAAGTTCTACAACTGCCAAGACTGGAGTCTAAGAAGCACTACTGTTGTAGATTATGTTTTATAAAATTTTATTTGTCCTTTTCTAGTAGTTGCTCACAGAGCCATGGAAAGAAAACTTAGGCAGGTGTCTGTTTGAATTCAAGACCAACTTGCAGCAAACAGTTCTCTGATAATGGGGATGCTCTCCAAATAACAGCATTCGATAGCATTTGCTTTACCTTCTCTGGTAACCCATTCATCTGTTCTGCACATATTTATGTTTGTATTAAATAAATATAATTCAGGGGAAAATGAATGATTGTACTTTGACTTAATAGTCCTTTCAGTCTTACATACTTGGCCCTTGGAGTATTCTTTTTCTCTGTCTTTCTTCTTCTCATCTTAATTGCTTTGGTTGGGTATATTTTGCCTTCAAAGGAGTTCTTTTGAAACTCAAAAAAGGAGTGCATAATTTGGATTTTTGTCTTTAAAGAAATCATTCTGCTGGAAAGAATATCCATTTACTTCTCTGAAGTATTTTTTCTTTAAATTCCCTGTCCATTATTATTAAAGAGCTGTCTGCTCAGACGGTACTGACATACTAATAATTTTTAATGCTGTCTTAACACTTTAAAACTATACTTTATTCAAAACTTTGATATCTAACTGTGTTGTATCAAAACTTTAAAAAAAAACAGTCCTTTAATTTTAAGGATATTATAATATACAACAGATATAAATAAAGAATTTGGCTGATATTTTGGGCTTGATTCTCAGTGACACTAAATTTTATGAAGAATCCTTTAGAATGGGAAATAGTGATAACACTTTGGGAAAAGAATAGCTTGCAGTATGGTGCTCTTGTACTGGAGATAAGTGCTGTGTACTGGTGCTCTTCCTTTGGAGACAAGTTCATATTAGAGATTCACAGAATAGGTAAAGTTGGAAGGGACCACAGTGGATTGAAGAAGCCCTTCTTGTCTTTGACAGCCTTGACCAGCTTTAATTCCAGATGGGTCTTGACCATCTTCATCTCATTTAAACTCACTGTGACAACCTCTGTGTATTCATTCCAAGTGTCCTGACACTGATTCAATTTCCTGACTCTAATTTTCCATATTTCCTGCCCACACTCAAGTAATGACAGGAGTTCCTTGATCATCCACAGGCCTCTTTCCCCTTGATCTGATTTCTTTCTCACTGGGATGCAGCATTCTTGGGACTGGAGAAAGTGATCCTTGAATATCAACCAGCTCTCTTAGACTTCTATTTCCTGCAGGCCTCATTCCCATGGCATTCTTCTAAGAAGATCCCTGAAAAGGCTAAAGTTAGCTCTTCTGAAGTTCATGGTTACCATCTTACTGCCCTGCTTCCTCATTCCCCATACTGAACTCCACAGTCTCATGGTCACTACAGCCAAGGCTGTGCTCATCATTCACGTCTCCAACAAGGTCTTCTCTGTTTATCAGTATGAGATCAAGCCGCACACCATTCCTTGTGGGATCATCCACTTCTTGTGTCAGGAAGTAGTCATCAAGGCTTTCCAGGAAGCTCCTGGATGGTTTGTGCCTCACTGTGTTGTTTCTCAGATGTCAGAGTAGTTAAAATCCCCCACAAGAACCAGTGCCTGTGACTTTGAGGCTGCTTCGAGCTGCCTGTAGAAGGCCTCATCAACCTCCTTCTCCTGCCCAGGCAACCTGTAGGAAACACCCGCAACAGCATCACCCTTACCAGTCTGTCATTTTATCCAAGCTCATAAGCCCTCCACTCCCTCATCATCCTCACCAAGACAGAGCTCAATCCATTCCAAGTATTACCTCATTCATAGAGGGAAACTCCACTACCACACCTTCCCAATCTCTCTCCTAAATAGTGTATAGCCCTTCATGGCAGCATTCCAGCCACGGGAGTTATCCATCTCCATAATCACAGTGGGATCTGTGACTACACACAGATCTATCCTTCCTCTGGTTTGTTTGCCATACTGTGTGTGTTGGCCTACAGGCACTTTATAGAGGTATTTGATTGTGTCAATATCCCAGAGGGATGATGCATAGTCTTTCTAGTGCTTGTGTCTTTGGATGCTTGTGTTTAATCGAGGTATTCCCTCTTAAGTATCCTTTTGCTTACAGCTCCCATGGTTGCTGTAGTTCTTCTTTTGAGCAATTCTTTAACTTGAGTGCTGAACAATTCTTTAACTTGCTTTTCATTATGTTGGCCTATGCCAGTGAATGAAAAGCAGCAAAGGGTGATTCAAGAGCCCCCCATCTCCATCTGTTTCCTATTTCTCCACTGATACCTTGACTTTATCTAGACCCGTCAAGCAAAGGAAGTTCACACCTTCCTCTCTATAGCATTGCACAGGCTGACATAGAAGTGAGACTTTATGTCATGCATTTAACATATGTAAGATGTTATCTGTCTTCCTCTGGTTTTGTGGTGTCATTTTTATGACATTTTTATATTGGTTTTCCCATTTTCTCAAAAAATCTGAGTTGCAATTATTTTTGTTTAAAAACAAACCCGTCCAAAAAACTTTAATTTTTATAAGTGCTAACAAGGAGAAACCTTGCCAGGTTTTTTCAATGATATGTTAAAACAAATTACCTTTTAGAGCATGAGGGCTAAGAAGAATAACCAAAAGGGGAGGAGAACTTTCCCTTAAAGACGCTGGTCCTTGGGAACTGTCAGTGCTGGGAACATGTGAAAGGCAGGAGTGGAAAAGGACTTAATGCTGGTGCTTTTCTCCCTCCGAATCTGCAGTCCAGAAAGGTTATTTTTCTTACACTGTTAACACCAGTTCCCACTTAGAAATAAGGATTACTGCTAAACCATTCTTGATTGCTAAACAGTTGTTACTAATCAGAGTTACAGGTGAGTTGCTGATCTTTATGGGTTCTTTGCTGTGCCCCATTCTGTCTGCCTTCCCTGTCTAATTTTGAATTTTCTTGAATTGATATGAAGCACTTCTTTCCACTTCAGCATTAAGCTGTTGTTTATCTGTATCTCCCTGCAGAACTTGTTTCTCAACACCTTGTGATTACATCTCAGGACATTGATTAACCTGGGTGTCACTGGCTTTGGGGTATACAAAGGTGAAAATGCATTGAAAACTATCACATTGGAACTTTTAAAACCAATCATTAGTTCTTGTGCCTTGGATACTGTTTCCCAGAGAGATGTCAAATCCAATGTGTACTCAGGTTTTGCAGTGTTAGGAGCATCAGGTCAAAGAGGGGAGTGGTGAGCTCTACAAGAGGAAGGATAAACCAATCACGGAAAATACTGTGTTTCTGGAGTTCTGGTTAGTATTTCAGACTGACTGTGTGACACTAGTTGGCTTGCCTGCAGTCACAGAGATCACTTTCACTAGCCTTTCAGTTTCTCCCTGTGAACTATATAAAATATGAGTAGCAGTAAAACTGGAAAATGGCAGCATTTTCTACATATTAAACATAAATGAGGTGAACTCAGGTAATGCATGAAAACGCAGCTGCTACTATACAGTTCTTCTCTGAACTGGCTGTAAATGCAGGCAGCTTCAAGAAGCTCTATGGGAGTTTTTAAAAAATAGGAAAAAAATTTGTAGACATTTCCAGTTGATGCAGCAGCTAAATTTCAAATACAGACCTCAAAAATATCTTTTTACAATCAACTTATATCTTTGAAATCCCTGTCATGATGCAATTCCACTTTGGCTTTAGCTTGCCTAACTTCATCCATCCCCAGGCAGAGCTCTGTGCACTCCAGCTTCTCTCTTAAGGAAAGGGCAACTCTTCTTCCCTATCTGTTCTTTCTAAAACACCTGCATCCCTTCATTGCAACACCCAGTCATGTCTCTGTGATCCCAACAAGATTGTAGCTCTGCAACTGCTCACAGATCTCTTTGTTTTTCTCCCAAGCTGCCTGCATTTTTCAGGGGGTTTATTTTGCATCAAAGTTTGAAAGCTAAACAAAAGTTTAACCTTT